ACAGAATTATCGAGTGATCCATCCCATCATCCAGTCCCAGCTTCTGGCGGTTAGAGGCTTAGGGACACCCACAGCATGGGGTTGCGTCCCTGATCATCTTGGCTAATAGCCATTAATGGACCTACCCTCCATGAACTTCATTGTTTTTTGAACCCAGTTATACTTTTGGCCTTCGCAACATCCCCCGGCAATGAGTTCCACAGGTTGACTTTGCATTGTGTGAAGAATAAGGGGTAAATAACACAGACTAACACGGTTGCTACTCTGAAACTTCCCATACAGAATCCCTTTAAATGAGAATCAAGGTTGGTAGAGTGTTGGTATAACCTAAAGATGTCAATCTCCTCCCTGCTCAGTGTATTTCTGCCGCCTCCAGGATGGATTCAGATTCTGCAAAATATATAGAAAAAACGGCGGCTGCAGCTGGAGAGTGCACAGCACAGCTCAGGGAGCGAGTGGAAAAGTGGCTCCAAGCCATGGCAAGCCACAATCCTGGGCCATCTGTGAACTACGCTTACCCTTCCACTCTGAGCCGCTCCTATTTGCACCAGCTGCCACAGGGGCCAATATAGCAACCAGCCCTTTGCTGCATTTCAGGGGAAATTATTCCACCAGTTCTGCTTTTTATCACAAACATCCTGCGACAACAACTGATCAGAGACATGTGGTCGTGCCATCAATTGCCCAATCTGCAGTTGGACTCTGATTTGCCTGAACGCTGTTCCAAGTTCTTGGCTGTTTGGCTCCCGTGCTACAATTACATATTTGATTCATCACTAAGCAGCAGCATGGGCTGCTTATTGAAGAAGAATGGCATTTGTTTGTGGTTTGCTGGTTTCCCAAATTAGCTGTCGAGAGGCTCTTGAGAAATTTTACTTAAAAATGCAGGCAAATTGAAACCTAGCTCAAGGACTGCAGCTAAAGGGCTCATCCACCCTCCAGAAACGACGCACTTCTGACAGTAAGTGGAGCTGAGCTGGTGCTCAACGCTGGTTAGCTTCAAGCGTAAACAGGGCGGGAGCATGTCCAGCTGATTTTAAAGCTGCAAGCTCTGACCTGGTACCCAACGTGCCCCAATTCCTGACCCCCACTTCAATGACAGGTGACTTTTGTACAGTAGCCAAAGATCGAGTGTCGATTCCCAGGCGTGTAGCGAAGTGTAAAGTTGGAGAAAGGCATCCGAGTGGTTTCCTGCAGAGATCAGTGTGAGGCCCCCAGTAGAAACATCTGTGTGAAGTAGCTAAGGTGAGCATGTTAAGTGTGTGCACGGATGATGGTACATTATGGGGCAGGGCACGTCAGCGAAAGAAGCAAGACAGTCTTTGGCAGCCCAGCAGAGCAGCAGGTAAACAAAGGGATTTCAACCACGGTGCAGGTGTGTGTTACTGACCAGCTACTCAAGACCTCCCTCGTCCCTTCATCCAAGTGCAAAGGGACAGGCTTTCCTCGGCCCAAAGGGAAAAGCAAGGTACCAACAGCCGGGCGGAGGCTCAGCCTCTAGCATTTCTTGCGGCAGGCTGCAAACCTGCTTGGGCTGGGCGCATCCCAGGGCGTAGAAGTGCCAGACAGGAGGGACTCCCGTCAGTACCCCACTTGGTATGCTCACGAGTGTGGGGAGAGCCACAGCAACCTGATTTCTGGCTGCCTGGTTCAGTCCTGGTGGGGGAGGGCACTTGGAGATCGGCTTTTCTGTTTTAAGTAAAGACACTTAAATGCAGAAGCTTGCGCACAATCCTCCAGGGAGCTTCTGCCAGGTCTTGGCTTCGTCGTTTCCTAAGTGTCGGCGCATCTATCTGAGGTTTTTTTTCCTTTCCCATTCACTCCCACAAAAACAAAAACACCCCCCCCCCCCTCCGCCCCCCCCCCCGGGCGGGGGGTCGCAGCCCGCCCCCCACCCCCTATCTGCCCGCCCCCCCAGCCCAGGACTCCTGCCCCATCCAACCTCCCCGTTCCCTGACGGTCCCCCGGGACCCCTGGCCCATCCACACACCCCCACTCCCTGTCCCCTGACCCTCCAGCCAACCCGTCCTCTCATTCCTGATGGCCCCCTGGGAACCCCTGCCCCATCCAACCACCCCTTCTCCCTGTCCCGACTGCCCCCTGCCGCTCCATTCAACCCCCTCTCCTTCCTGACTGCCCCCGGGAACCCCTGCCCCTATTTGACTGGCCCAACTCCTATCTCCTCCCTCCCCCCCGACCACCACCCCAAACTCCCCTGCCCCCTTCCCGCGCTGCCTGGAGCACTGGTGGCGCTACAGCCAGGCCACGCCACCGCCGCCACCACAGAGCACCGGGTCAGGCCGGGCTCTGCAGCCCCACTGCCCAGAGCATTGCGCTGGAGGCGTGGTGAGCTGAGGCTGCGGGGGAAGAGGGACAGCAGGGATGGGGCCAGGGCGAGCCTCCCGGGCCAGGAGCTCGGGGGCCGGGCAGGATGGTCCCACGGGCCATAGTTTGCCCACCTCTGACCTAGAGGTCAGAGAAATGGGGATACCCCCTGGGAAAATACAACTGAACGAGGGCAGGAGTGAACATCCAGGCCACGTGTTCGCAAAGCAGAACCCCCAAGAGCCTCCAGTGGCTACTGAAAGCGTGTTTGAGACGAGCATGCAGTTTTCTACCAAGTAAGTGTTTCTGGGTTTGGTTTTGAGGGGCTGCACAGACCGAGGTGGATCAGGAAGCATTGAGTCCTTTGGTGAGCCTGCACCTTGAATGCTGTATTTGGTTCTGGCTACATCACTACCTGCATGATGTCAGTGCATTGGAGAGAATTCAAAAAGCAACACTGGTTGTGGTGGGATTGAGTTATGGGAAAATATGTGCAGTTGGGCCTGCAGATTACGAGGCTTTGGGGGTGGTGTTAAAACCAAAGCATGAGAGCAAGTGTGTAAGGTGCTATCCATGCAACCAGGATAGAACTACAAGTCACGGGCATGAAGCAAAAGAATACTTACCCCAATCTCCGGGGCAATCCAGGTTACACACCTGTGGCTGACCCATGCCAGCTGACTCGGGCTGTTTAATGGCAGTGTAGACCTCTGGGTTTGGGCTGGAGCCCAGGCTCTGAGAGGTCCCAGAGCCTGGTCCTCAGCCCAAGCCTGAACAACTACACTGCCGAGCCCGCATCTGCTGACATTGACCAGCCGTGGGGATCTAAACACAGCACAGACAGACCCTAGAAGGTCTTGTTTGTATTGTTAACTCCTTGACCACTGAGGAGTTTCTCCAGCACCTGGTATACTAAGAATTTAGGGAATGACTGGGGTGGGATTCTTGCAATCTTTGGACTTCATCTTTGCTGGAAGGCCTGTTTTTAGATTTGTACCACACACTGAGATGAGCTAGAGCAGTCCCAGAACCTCTCGCTGTGATGATGCCCAAGACACATAAGTAAATACAATGGGAAATGCACTGCCTGTGAATGTCCTGGCCTCTTCCCCCTACTGTTTCGCTGACATCTGAAAAAATTGTACACCACCTTTATATTCCTCATTCAGGTAAACGGCATAAACCGTGGCTGCTCTCTCTGAATCCAGAGGCAAGGTGGACAAACGTCTATTGGTGAGAGACAAGCTTCTGAGCTTACACAGAGCTCTTCTTCGGGTCTTCTGTGAATCCAGACAGGCCTGGCCTTCAACCAGTGTCATCTGAGCAGTGCACCTGGCCAAGATTTCTCTCCCTGCTCAGCGTCACCTATGACTATGATCACCGCAGCACAGCTGAAAGCCTGAGATCAGTCAGGTATGAACTCTCCTGACTCATTCTGCCAGCTCTTGACCCCGCTCAGGTCAGGGAGTGACAACAGAGGCTGTGTAGGTCAGAGCATGCGGAGAAAGGAGTAGGGAGCAGCGGAATGAGGGAGGAGAGGGATTAAAAGATGAGGCCATGTATACTTGTCTTTAGTGCAATTAATGGTCCAGGGGATAAGGCTAATCACCTTGATTAACCTTACTAGACTGAATTTATCCCAGACAGAGTTAAAAATAATCTTCAGTTTTGGCGGTTAGGAGGTGCGTTATTTATGCTCTGAATTGGCTCAGTGCTTTTTCACACAGCCATGCAAATGAATGTATGTTCTGAAAGTTTGCTTCATAGAGTGAACTTATTTTTGCAATATTCTAACATTCTGCTCACTTTCATTTTGGCAGAAACAAAAAAAAAAAAACAGATGTGAAGTCTTCACAACCAGCTTCATCACAAACATAAAGGCAGTTCCTCAAGGAATCTAGGTACAGAACGGGGGGGTGGCATTACGGTGTACTGAGGATGTTTTAGTTTCTTCCCTTGTTCTTAACTGAGTTAAAATATCTGCAAGGTCTTATTTGGGCATGTACTGTAACTCCATATCCACACTTTGAGGGTGTCTGTTCTCTTCACTGTAGGGTTGAAATATGTATGTGAAAATAGAAAAGCCAAGTTAGAATTTGAGTGAAAGTTTAATTCTGTAACAAAATGCAGGCTAGCCCTATAAGGAGGAAGCCGTGGCATTTGTGCCCCATTTAATTAGTCCCTGAAGACAGCTTTTGCAATGATGTTCCTGTTGACTTAGCTTGAATTGTCTTAAAAGGATTCACTTTGGCAGGTTCTACTTACAAGAGCTGTGTAAAAAAGGGCAGTGATCTTTCTCTTCCTTTGGAGAGGAGCCACCTCATGGCATCATGGGGTTTAGAGAAACAGTCATATCAAAGCACTATCGGTTATTTAAGGCCTGTTCAAATAGAACTATTGAGCAGGGGAAATTAATCTGTACCCCCCAAAAGTTCTATTCAACAGTCTCACCACCAACCTTCAAAATCCCATTACTTGAGCCTCTGGCTCCTGCCAGCTGTAGTGTGGTCTGGCCAAGGAGTGAAATAAAGGCAAAAAGATTGCTCCTGGCCAGCCAGAACTAACCTCAAGTGTATCACTACCCGCTTGCTACTCTTCATCTAATACACAACAAGTGCAGGTTAGGAAAAGCAGCAACCAGCCGTTCACAGCAATGAAAACAATCGGTGAGCCTGTGAGTGAAATACTGTATTAAAGGGAGGCTTGCGAATACAATGAAAAGAGAATCTGGATTCAAATGAAAACTCCAGCACTGTAAACACAGCAATTATTGGGAGAGCACCTACCACTGTCCCAACACGTAATTAACCGCTTGAGCTGATGCCACAGCAACGAACTCTCAACACTCTCCTCCATTATTCAGACCACGCAAGGCAAATTAATGAAGATCAGGATTTTTTTTTAAACAGGGAATGTGTGTGAAATATTTTTCATTTTTTAACACTGCCCACACTAGTATTGCTTAGAAAAAGTGATGGGTGAGCTGGCCACCTTGTCTTTCCCAACCAGCTGATTACAAATTCAGGTATTTGGGGGAGGGGATGGGGATGACCCAACTTCCTAGAGCATGAATTCCAGAACAATCCAGTGAAGAGTGATCTACAGCATCATGATATAAAGTGACCCCTCGCCTGCAGAGCTTGTGGCTAAGGGTGCTAACCTCCGCAGGCCAGCAAAGTGGTAGTTACTCAGACATAGGGAGATGCCCAGAGTCCCCCATGGCACATGGAGATAGAGTGTAATTATGGTCCTCTATCCTCCATTCACCTGCACTCCCTTCCATACATCCCAGATAAGGGTTTTGATACCCATCAGCACACGGGTGAGCATCTTCCCTAGCAGATATCAGACCAGCAATGAATGCAAGGTAAAAAGGTGTAGCTCCCAAGCACTTTGAATCGAATTTCAGCTAATATCACTGCACTTGAGAGCTCTTCTTTTTTAGAGAAAGCTCTGAGCCATCCAACTCAAGCAAGGACGGTGGAAGCAGCTGCTGGAGGCTCTTGTTAAAGACAGAACTGTGTGTCACTGGGACAACTCCTGAACCAGAGTAAAATTTTCTTTTTCTCCGCAACTGCCCAGGGCTATCTACCGTGTGTGATTTGTACTGCTGATTGATGTATCAAATGGCATTAGTGTCTCCCACTGTTTCATACCATCATTCTGAAACCTGGAAATCTAACTCCGTGGTTAACCCCAACTGTAATGCTCAGATAATGTAACCGATCAATGTTCTTTGCCACATATAGCATTAGTAGGCAGCTAGCAAATATACCATTTTCAGGGCAATGTTACTTTAATCAATTAAAGCTACAATCTATGTAACTAACAAAGCTATGCACATTCTGTACCATATTGGTTAGGGTGTGTGCTGCGGTATACCCTCTACTCTTTGTCTGTCAGTGTCTTTAGACTGTAATCCCTTTAGGATAGGGGATCTCTCTGTATAGTGCCCACCACCATGGGGCCCCAAACCCTATAGAAGCCTTTGGGTACTACTATAATGTAACTATTTCCTTCTACTGTTAAACTATCTAGTTTTCTTAGGCACAAATGAACAAGTCCCATGAGTAATTCTGGGACTGTCACTAGTTCTTTTATATCTCTCTCAAATATTAGCCCTGCTTTCTAAACATAATAGTTTACTATGAAACAAAATACTGAACATTGTACATGAACATAGCACATTACATCCCACTGTATTATATATTTAATGAACTGGGATCTGAAACCATGACTGTAACGTTTATACAGTTCAGTTGTTTACATAATGAAGCAGACTGTAAAAACCCTACTTCTCACTTATAATTTTCTTAGCTACCGCATATCAACTCATACAGTACACATTACTTCCAAAATGGTCTTAAACATCTACATTTTGCATTCCGTTATTTTTTAAAAAGCGTTACATATTAATTACTCTGGAAAGTTTCTGAACTCTATTTAGCAGCAAATCTCCTTTCTTGATGGTTTCTTGGTACTGCCAGTTCTTGCTATCGGGTCTACAAATTAGGAAGAAAGGGTTTTATAGTGAGAAGTCACATTAAACCATGACAAGCTTTTCAACAACGCTGTCAATTTAGTAACTGTGATGAGAATATACAGCCTATAAACTAGAGTATAGATACTGTACCTGTTAGTTTCGACTATCTCGTTTACTTTGTCTATTTTGCAATGCAGTCGCCCAGCTGCAATAAATCTTGAAAGCTCCCTAATTAAAAAAAAAAAGTATGTTAAATATATAGATGTTGCACAAAAGAGTTGCAGGCTCCCACAAAGTGTCTTGTTTTCCTCCCACCCCACTTTTAAAGAAATGCTTTACAGTTCATTTTCCCCCACAGCTATTTTTAGAAGGGCCTTTCATGTTCCACCTTGGCTCATCTACTTCCTTTTCTTCTTTTAAGCTGCACCTCATTTGTTTGGACGTTAGGAGGTGGTGGTGTATTGTCTACTCTTCGTTTTTATTCTATTGTACAGCTCCTGAGCATTTGACACTCTCTACAATTACATTAGTGGAATGGCTCCAAGGCAGGGCAACTACAAAATTAGATATTACATTAAATAACGGTGTCATTGCTTCCTAAAAGCTAACAAGATTACCCTTATACTCTGAATCGGGGTAAGGACCCTCTACTTAGAACTCCCTATTCAGCCCAGGCTCCTACTGAAGCCAATGGGAGTTTTGTCTCGTCACCAAGTGCAGAATGATGTATTTTATGCTTTGTGGAAAGCCACCTTTCAATTCTGGAGGTTGAAGTAAGTTGTCAGAAGGCCACAATGCAAACACGGTTACCCCACCATTTCTATTTCTCCTACTACAAACCATGTCCAGCCCATTCAATCCAAAATCCATGTATGTCTCCCTTAACCTCTTGCCACACCAATCATCTCCTGACCTTCTGGGCCAGTTGGAGGAGCCAACAGTCTCCTTACCAGCTCTGAGCACTCCCACTTCCTCCTTCTGCACATCTGTTCTGATTCTGTATCTTTATCCCACCAGCAGTGTTAAATGAACTATCCTCAGTGATGGGCAGTAGCACCTGTGCTGATTAGACAGTCCTCTTCCCAGTTGCCACTGCCCTCCTATACCTCTGAAAAATTCAACCGTACAGCCTACTTCTCATGTTTCAGCCCTTCCTGTAACGGAGAGTAGCCTGACTACACATTTTTACTCACCCTAGTCCCTTGCCTGAAAGTTCCCCCCCACAAGTTATTAAAAACCATTAACATTTCTAATGTAGAGGAAAGCAGAGAGCAGTTCGTGACTTGCTCTCCACCATTTCCTAAGATCATGTGGTTAAACCCTGAATCCTTCCAGTAAATAGTCCATTAGAATGTGAACACACAGCAGAAGAGACTGATGGTATGCAGGAGTCAAAAACTGGACAATAAGTGGAAAACCTGTCTGACTGCCTGGCATTGAAAATAGCGGATTTAACACAACCTGTCAACAATTTTATATGTTTTTCTAAGAGAAACCGTACAAAATTGTTTGCCATTTCCTAGTAGCCCTGCATGTTAGATTGTTTGCTTAATAAATTGCTGCTCACGTTAATTTTGTTTCCTGGTCCAACTAATTCTTATGAGGCCATATCGCAATAAAACGAACTAGTGGTTTATTATGGATCAAAGTGTGGAGAGTAAGGAAAAAATAATGCTGGTGCTGAACAAGTGCCTGTGAATTGATAAGGATTGGTTAAACTCTTCCTGTTGATCTGTTTCCACAGAACTGTTTGTGGCTAGGAAAGACGTGACAATGAAAATAAACAAACCCATATTCCCATAGTAGAGCATGACAACATGGATAAGTACCTATAGTAAACCAGATAAGTTACAATCATTAATAACTATCTACTCTCACTATTAATAGAAACTGGTATAACTTAAGTGCTGATCTCATTAATATGATCATATTCAGTTTCCTTTCAAATGTTCATTTTTTGCTTTACTAATTTATTTATGTACATTTCAGTCAGGACTCAGATTCCTGCCTATTTTTTCTTAATTGGGAATATTTAAAAAAAATACTTATAGACGGAAGCAAGTTGTTCCTCTAGAGGTATTCAAACACAAGCTGGCTGTTATAGGTATCAGAGGTAAATCCACTAATCTTTCACCCTAGATTTAGCTTCAAATCCCAATTTAGGTCACAGTGAAAACTAGTTGTAGTTCCAGTTCTAAGGTGAGACCAAACAAGTGCAGGTTGACGTGTGATTTTGGAAAGCTTGCACAACAGCTGCCTACACTTTACCTGATTTAAACCACAAATATCAGGTCCAATCGACACAGCAATTATAGGTGAATCAGGCTTCACTACAAAACTTGTTAAAACAAGTTAAAACTTGTAGTGAAGATGGAACTTAAGTGTCCCAAAACTGGAACATGGACAGTCAAAATTTAAAGAACATGATGAAGTCTCAGCTACATCGTAACTTTTAACTGTGTTATAGCCTCGTTCCCTAAATTCAATTGTTGTCATCCAGATAGCCCTTGGTCTTATCATTTAAAGAAAAAAAGATACCTTAAGAAAATATTATCTCATGATGCTTCATGTGTAAAAACTAAATATAAAATTTCTTATGCAGAGAGAAAAAGAAATATTGGACAATGAATTTTTTTTAAACAGACTAAAGTTAAACTGATTTCTACACTTAAACATGAGACTAGTAAAAAATAATCTTGCAGATAACTTGGTTTGTGGATAGTTAAGTAAATACCTCTTCTCTCTTTTTGGTATCGTCTGTTTATTTGTAGCACGATCATTGTAAACTCGTTACTTTATAAATGATGACTAAAGTCTCTAACTTACAAAAGTTACTTTTAACTTACTGATCTATGAATTCTACACCGACTCCAAAAGCTTCTGCCATGTACCCTAGCGTCAGTGACCGGTAGGATTCTAGGAGTTGGCTGTACGCATGGATTCTCATTTCCCGTACATAATAACGATAGTGGGGAGCAAACAGCCAATCTTTTTTCATCTCTTGCTCTACAATAGCTGAAAAGATAAAAATCACAAATACAGTCTATAATCTCTGAGTTAATCTGTTCCTGCTTATACAAAAAAACCCAACACATAACGAAGTTCAATAAGCAACATAATATGGTATGTGACTGTACTGGATCCCTGTGTCCCGTATGTGTGCATTGAGATACAAAGGCACAATCAAAGTAGATACTCACATCTTTGATAGTACTTGGTTTGTGTTTGCTTTATCAAAACTTGTTCTTAAGAATAGAATAGTTGAGGGTAAGACTAGTTTTCTATTGAGAGGGTCTTCAATTGGCTTTAAGAAACTACAGACGCTTCAGGAGCTCTTGGTTTTTATCAGACTGGCACTTGCAGTTCTCAACAGCAGCTGAGATTTTCTGCCCTCTGCTTTTGGTTGCAGGGCAGCCATTCAGATCCAGTCTTCCCCAAAGTAAAGGGGAAGACTTTTTTTTTTTTAAGTCTTATTTTTGCTACCCTAGAACCCATTTTCATGGAAACTGGAGCAGAAACCAGCAGCATAAACACTGACAGAACAGTGCCAATGATAAAGAATGGATTTTAAAACTGTTTTCTTTCCTTGTTTCTGCACTGTTCCCATAGAAACCAGTTCAAAACAGCCCTAAATAGCCAGCGGCTATGAAATCTCCCCTTTGTAATTTAAACCTGAAAGTTCAGATTTTAAAAATCGACCTACAGAATTTAGACTCCTTTGGCTTCCTGATGCATCCAGTGTTTTAACTTTATAAAAAACTATATTCTCTTTTAAAGGAAGCCTTTCAGAATTCCCATTTTAATGGAGTTAAGTACTACTACCGTCCCAATTCCACAGCCAGGAGTCTTGTATTTGCACACAGCCTATGGGTCTGACCACAGAATTAGGACCAAAGATAGCAAACTGGCTCTTTGATCACACCCTGTAAGAACCTTCCCTCATCCAACCAGATGCCATCTTTCAGAGTGCTCATTTTATAAGAAAAACATTTGAGAGCCATAAATCCATGCAAGAGCAGCTTACTCTCCCTCACTGTGCTGCCAAGGGAGAGTGGTATTTAGGAATGATTCACCTAAAGTAAATGGATGATTTTAACTGTCAGGGGTTTGACAATACTAACTATACCTACAGCCCATCTCCTAAGCAATTCTACAAAACTCAGCTATGATTTGCAGCAAGCTGCTCACAGGACCTAATGAGAAACACAGGGGAAAGATACTGGTGTATGAAATATCCTTACCTAATGACTGGAAGAAGACTGAATAACGACATTCATAGAGTGAAAAGAGATACTGTCGTACAGTTGGTAAACTATGCAACACTTCCAGAATCTCTGCCCCTTTAATAACCTGAAAGCAATCAAACAACATTTAGAAATTTCATATACTAGTATCAGAGAGAGAGAAAAAAAATTAAGAATAATTTGATCAGCTTGAATCAGTGCAGTCATTTGCTTTACTTGCCTTCTCTCTAAGGTCAGGTCTGTCTAATGCAATCATACTGACGTAGACAGTATATGTTACAAATGTTTTGTAATCCATAAGTTCATAGGATGTAAATGTTGAAACTGTATCAAGAAAGAGTTCTGCTGCTTGTTTGAAATCTCGAATAGCTACGCAGTAAAGCCCTTGGTAGACTTTTAGACGATTTCTCCTGTCCCAGTCTCCTCCTTCCTCTATTAGACTTAAAACAAATAAGATATATATTTACTTGTTTTCGTTATCTGAAATGAGTGCAGTACATTTAACAAGATTAGAGTGCATAAGGAAATCTTAGTTATGAAGTACACTATATCGTAACAATTAGGGCTTCAAAAATGCGCTTGTCGGTGGTAGATGGGACGCTTTCCTCCGTGAGGCCAGAATTCAAGCTACATTTTAAAAAATTAAAAAGTTTCTAGCCTATTTAGTTGTGATGCTAATCTTCCAAATGTGAACCTGTGATCCTGAGTCTGCAGGCACACACCTCCAATGCCTCTGTTGCTCACAGCTTTGACCACCAGTAGTAGACTAAAATCATTTAAAAAAAAAATGCGAGGACCCCCCCCCCCCCCCCAAAACCTATGGGCAGCAGTGAAACTTTCAAGAGCCATGTAATGCTGCTGTATCCACAAGCAACAGCAGAGGCAGGTCCAGGAGCCATTCTGGGAGAACACAAAAAATAGTGACTGAGGGAAAAGTGAAGTCAAAGATCTCTCATTGCAACAGCCAAGATGATCAGGAACCAGTAGTGGAGACCAGCTCATTACAGCAGCCTGAAAGCTCCACGGTGTTAAGGGGAAAAAAGTTCCTCTCCCTTCTAGCAGCTACAGGCAGGAAGAAGTTTGGAAATTCAAACTCATCAAACACAGGCTAGTCAGCAGCAGACACAAAAGATTCAAGCCCCAGGTAGTGTCCAGGGGCAACAAGCAGCCTCACAGAAATCCCAACACCTCCACCTCCCCACTCCCAGCAGCTGGAGATTGTAAGGTTATCAGCATTTCGCCTATGGGACTGTCCCATGACTAACTGATGTAGCATCCACTCATCTTTCATATCTAACTCTAGCTAGTAGGTTTAGTCCTCTGGCTAGTGGGTATCTGGTAAGTTTTTCAAGCCCTGGTTATAATCGTTTGTGTCTATCACTTTATCCAGGACCATAATGTATAACAACTAGATTTAACTGAAAATTAGTAAATAATGAGAATACAAATGTCACTTTATTTTAATTATAAGCTCCATGTGGCAGGAACTTAGATTTCTTTCAGATTGCCAAGTGCACCGTGCACTTATAACAAGAATAAGTACTATTTTTTTAAATTATTAACAAATAAGCCAAACCTATTCACTAGCAATCAGGCAGTTCTATAGCTATCTTCAAAACTAGTGTTTTGTTAGACATTGCAACCAATGATGCTTTACTTCAAAAGGTGATATTTGCCACAAATCTAACAATGGTACCTTTTTGCCTTTTCAATATTCCGTGTGATGAGGTCATTATCCATGTAAAACAAACCAATTCTTAGAAGGTAGAACACAATATCCAGACGATGTCCCAGTGCCACAGTTTTGTCATACGTCTTACGAAAAGCAGTCAGAGCTCCTTCCTAACAAGACAATATTTTCTAATATTAGAACATAGAAAGGAACTGGCACCCCACTAAAATGTCTTATCAAGAGAAGCTGCCTTGGGTGTTACCAGGGTAGTGTACAGATTTATCTTGCTGAAGGACATTTTAGCAGTACTCTGGGGGCAAAAAAACCACAGGCAAGTGAAATGTGTCTTGGCTCTTATAAAAGCTGGCAGCCATCTTAGAAAGCCAGTTTAAACTAAGTTAGCATGCTCTGATCAAGGTGTATCATCCACAACAGAACTGTACAACTGTCTATCCTAAATATACCAACCTTCTTCAAAAAAGGAGATTAACATTCACAACTTGTCAAAGTTTAAATCTGAAGTTCCAAAAGTTACTCCCGAAATACCTTAGAGTCCCCAATTATATGAGTACAGTAACTAACTCACATTGCATATGCAATTATGATGTAACAGCTTAAAAACAAAACACTAGGTAGGTAGAAAATACTGTCTACAAAATGTTTTGAAAAGTTTTAAATGGAAAACTTTTATTTGTTCTCTTATTAGTTTGCCTTTCACTTCCCGGTTTTACATCCCTTTCCTTTCTCTTGCTGCACTGCTTAGATCTCACCATTCACCCCACCCAGATGTGGTTCTATTTTCTCCAGAGCATGAGTCAGTGGGCCTCCTCTAACTGGATGGAACGCATAGGAATTTGCCTGGTTTGAAAGACGAAGAATGATTTTAATGACAGCAGCCCAAGGAACCTGGGCCTTTAACTCACCTTGTCCCCAATTCGGCACAGGTACTCAGCCTTGGCCATCATTGCATCACGGATTTCACTCTCCCCCAAGATCTTTTCAGCATCTTCCAGTTCATTGTCGAGACGTTTCAACTCTTCCTCATTCGCCTTTTTCATCTTATTCAACAGCTCCATGTCCATCTGCCAGTCAAGCGGCTTGCAGAGTGCTTCATAGTATGGGGCCATATCTGAAAGAGAATTG